TTTTTTTTCCCTCCAAAAAACTAGTCTCTATTTTAATATTTCAGCAGGGACAAAGAGGCAATATAAATTATTCCTAAGCAGCCTGTTTCTTCTTGAGAAAGGCCTTTCTCATTGCCTCTGCTTTATGTGAAAATGAAATTAAAGTCTTGCCTTTCTATTTTTTCTCACCCTATAAGTGGTCAAGACCTTTCTAGTGTTGTCAACAGTCCTCTCTACTTTGTACGTTTTGAAGGAAGCAAAGGGAACATTGTTTCACATTAAGCAATATTTCTTTTTAGGGGAGGGAGAAGTACTAGGAAATGGAATTGACTTATAAAAATAGGCATGGCATAGAAAATAAATATAAATCTCAATACCAAAAGGAAAAGAAAATTATGTAATTTGAAGTAATTTTTCACATGCAGCGTCTCTCAGTTTGGGGATTACGTATATAAAAGCTTATAAACACACATACTTAAGGTACCGCCATTTCCACAGGGAACTTTGCTGGTAGCAAATTTCCTTACACAAACACTTAAAAATGCAAACCTAAGATGTTTAAAACTTAAAAAAAAACAACCTTTTTAAATAAAAAGTTGAAAATCTTGCATATTCTTTTGCAGTTTGAGGAAACATTCCTAAAAGAAACACTTTTTAAATTCATTTTTTAAATATTTACTTTATAGCCTAGCTGGCATGGCTCAGCGGTTGAGCATCAATTTATGGTCCGGGAGATCTGGGTTCGATTCCTGGTCAGGACACATGGGTGGGTTATAGGCTTGATCCCCAGCAGGGGGTGTGCAGGAGGCAACCAATCAATGACTTTCTCTCATCGTTGATGCTTCTATCTCTCTCTCCCTCTCCCTTCCTCTCTCTGAAATCAATAAAGATATATTTTTAAAAAATAAAAATATTTACTTTATAAATGACCCACAACTAGTTTTGCCATATAAAATTAGTAGTTAAAGAAGACTACCAAGGAGAAATTATATACTAAATAGTCCTAAGACCCAAATTGTTTCAATCTAGCTTGTTCTGTGTTTGTATATATAAAAGCGTGAAAGCGAAGACTTTTGTATAAAAGTAATAGATATCTGTGTTAGAATTTGGTTGAGGCAAAAAAATATATCTTTTTTTCCAGTTTACATAATTTTATTATAAAAAGCCATAATTTAAAAATACTAACATTTTTATTACTGAGGGGAAATTGTAGAACTACCTAATTTCTGGTGTATTTGGACCTGTTCCACTATAGCTCAGAGGTTTAAAGGGAAACTTGAGTTCTACTTGTAATCCTAATAGTAATTTGAGATCCTCAGAAAGGATATGTAACTCCTACTTTTATTGACTTGGACAGGCCTTGGATTGAAATGGAGAAGGAACGATGGGTAATGAAGTGAATTGAAAATCCCAGGACCAACATAAACCACAGCTGTTTTGTTTTGTTTTTTAAACCCCAAAATGTTGAGATCACATCTATAAACACATGTACTGCTTCTGAGGACATGCTTGGTTTCCTTGCTGGGGATTTGTTTTCCTCCTGATGACTAGCAAGAATAAAGGAGCTAACTTCACTAAGTTAGGTGATAAGGCAATAACGGGAAATTAAGTATGACTTTGGAAACACTGGTACAGCAAATCCAGAGAATTGTAACTCAAATTTTTTATTAGATCTGAGGTGCTGGTGATCCTCCTGTAACTCCTCACTGTTATAACCTTACAAATCATTCCTCCCATGTCTTTAGATAAAAAAAGTATAAAGAGACAAGGATTTCCTGCTGTTAAAGAAAAGAAAATAATAATATCCTGCATTTGTTGAGGCAGGAGATCAAGACTGAATAGGCATATATACATAACATTTTTCACCCATTAAAATAGCAAAGATTCTTTTAAATAAGGTTAACTTGCTGTTGGCAAGTGGACTGACATAGACATCATACACTGCTGGTGGGAACATAAAATGGTACAATCCTATTAAGGATTTACAGTATTTATCATGAACCTTAAATGTTCCTTGGACCCAGTAATTTCTCTCCTAAAAAAAATATGTTCATTATCATATTATTTAAAGTAAGTGCCCAATAATTAGGGGATGCCTAAATAAAGTATGGTAAACACATAATGGAATGCTGTCTAGATATTTTTTAAATAATGCTTATGTAGAGTTTGTATAACATGGAAAAGATATGTGTTACTAAGGAAAGGACTAAAAAGTGGAAGGAGCCTGGCAGGCGTGGCTCAGTGGTTGAGCGTTGACCCATGCACCAAGAGGTCTCAGGTTCAATTCCCTGTCAGGGCACATGCCTATGTTTCGGGCTTATAAGTTGCCCTTTTATTAATCCCGTGCCATTCGTTTCCTGTTGAGACCCTGACTGATCTTATCCAGTCTCATGGCTTTAAATATCAACCACATGCCAACAATTCCCAAATTTATAGTCCCAGCCCAGACCCATCTCCTGAACTACAGTCTCATGTCTCGGTGCCTGCTAGATTTGATTGTCTAATATATGTCTTATTGATCTTTCCTCCTAAACCTGCTGATGGCAACTCTGTTTTGTCAGTTGTTTAGAACAAAAATTTCAAAATCATCCTCAATTTTTTTTTCTCAGCCCCCCCCCCTTATCCAATCTGTCAGGATATCTAAGTAGGTCTGCCTTTAGTAGAGAATCTGACCACTTCTCACCACCTCCTCTCCTATCTCCCTGGCTCAACTACTGAAATCTCTCATCTCTAATAACTTCTCAGTTGGTCTTCCTGCTTCTGCCTTACCTCTTTCACCCTATTTCCAGCATAGTGAAAATGATTAAAATACAAGTTAGATCATGTCACTCCTCTGCTTAAAAGCCCCCAGTGGCTTCCCACTTCAGAATAAAAGCCAAAGTCCTTAGGATGACCGAAAAGGCCCTACATCATCTGCCTCCCACACCCTTTACCTCTGTGACCCCATTTTCTGCTCTTTCCCATTACTCTGCTCTAGTCACACTGGCTTCCCTTACTCCTTTAACACTGTTCTCTGTCAGGAATGTTTCCCCAGATATCTGCATGACTAACTCCCTCACCTCTGTTAAGTCTTCATTCAAATGTTATCTTAACGGGGCTTACCCTAACCAGCTTATTTAGAATGGCAATTTTACACACGCACACGCACCCAGCACCCCTGATCCATCTTCCCTTACTGTTTTTCCTTTTCTGCATCACTTAACATCTTCTAACATACTATATCATGTACTTATTTATTTTTTAATTATTATGCAGTAAAATTAGTTTCCCCCCATTTTTGTATACAGTTCTGTGAAATTTAGCACATGTATAAATTTTTATGTCCATCACCACAGTCAGGATACAAGACATTTCCATACTCCAAAAAAACAATCACCTCTTCCCCATCCCTAACTCCTGGCAACCACTGATCTGTTCATCTTATAGCTTGTCTTTTCAGTAATGGGATCATGCAGTTTGTAACATTTTGACACGGGCTTCTTTTACTTAGCATAATGCCTTTGAAACTTATCCAATTCCCTGAGTGTATCAGTAGTTCATTCCTTTTTATTGTCAAGTAGTATTCTGTTCTGCGGCTGTACTGCAGTTTATCCATTCACCTACTGAAGGAAATTTGGGTTGTTTCCAGTTTTCAGGGCACTTACGAACAGAACTGCTAAAACATTCATGTACAGATTTTTATGTGAGCATAAGTTTTTGTTTCTCTGGAACATAATTTACTTATTAATTACATTCACCTTCTTTTGCATGTTTTGTTCACAGATATATTAGTCTAGGTTTCTAAAACAGTATACCTGGCACATACCAGGAGATCAGCAAATTGGTGAATATGCAATGTTACTTTAACACATCCAGGGTTACTCTGAACACATCCAGGGTTTACATCACCAAGCCCTAGACTGCAGTCTACTCAGACCTCAGGTGGCAGGAGACTTGAGTTGAAAGACATCTGCGAATTGAGAATGTAAAAGGCTTTTTACTGAAAGTAATGCCTTCCTAATGTTTTTGGTGGCCATCTATCAGATTCCTGATTTGAGGAGGAGCTTGGGATGATGTTAAGGAGAAACCTCTTGGGAGAATACTTTAACAGTGATGTCAACATAACTCATTTGTGAGCAAAATGAAAAGCCAACTCCCTCCCTAAGGAGAACCCAGAGACCAACTTGCTTGCAAGGCAGGGGAAATAATGGCACCATTCTCCCCATACAAAAAAGGTCACTAGATGGGATAAGAAAAAGATAAATTTAGAGATAAAGAGGAAAATAATGATTATATGAGAGGTTGACATTTATAAGGGAAGCTCATTGATTTACTAGAATATTGGGGTTAACAGGCATAGCCTGTGTCTGACTATGAAGTATCTTTTGGATAAGTTTTTAAATAACATTTCATTTGCTGCCTAATGTCCCAAACCATAGCAATGTACCTCGTTAAAATACATGGGCCCCCTATAACTCTATTCTTTAGCGGATGGATTTCAGTAAGAATCATTTGGCTCTTAGTGCACTGTAGTTTTTGAAGGCTAACAAGATTTCACTTTAAGGTGGTTACATGTTTCAAATTTGAGCAAGGTTTCAGAATAAGTTTTCATTCTTTAAAATGTTTCTTTTGGTATGAATGATATGGACTCATAAAAATTTTAAATATACAGAACTATATGAAGAAAAAAAGGCAATCCTACACCTATATATAAGCACTATTGATATTTTGATGAAAATCCTTCCAGACATCTTTGAGGTGGATGTACAGTACATGTGTATGTTTTTGTCACTCTAAAGAGAAGGGGCTGCAGTGATGCTTTTAGGGTGGAATGCAGCCCCCTTCATTTTCAATAAGAGTGACCTGAACATAGAAGAAAGAAGATTAACTTCAGTACCTAAAACATTACAAACATCAGTGTTTAATTGAACATTTTTAAGATGATCTTTTTCAGGAAAAATGAAATAATTCTGAAATATATTGAGGGTTCCGATTTGACTTGAGTACGTGTGAGGGTATAGAGGCTTTGTTTATTCCTCCAGGTATCCAGGTTAAAGCACTGTGGCAACTTACAAGGTCTAAGTATAGGACTCAGACAGCACCATTAACTTTCTATGTTCCCTATACCTCAGGTGAGTTAGAAATAGATGTCTGTTCACAGTTCTTCAGCCACTGTGGATGGCCAGTTAGATGGGGGTGGGCTTCAGTGTCATCAACTCAAGTGAAACTCATTGCTCTCTGCATAAAGCCATGCAATAGGCTGTGTATGTATGTGTTTTATTTAAATATGTGTGCAGTAACCAGTTAAGTGATGCTACTGTGTGATTGAACTTCTGAGTAGATCATGAAGGGTCCTTTTCTAACCAAGATTAGTCATTTAGAATGTCTTTAAGTTCCCCCGATTGGTAGCCCAATAGTTGGTATACTGCCTTAAATAGTTGAAAAAGCAAGTCTGTGCCATTGGCAGTGACTAGAAACTATAGGAATTTCTGCCAAAGTTTTTGTGATCTAATCCTCTGTTGGAAGTACAAAGCTAAAGCATGTATTGAAATGCCTGAGTCAGCCGCACAAGGGATATATTGGCTGCAACCCTGCTCATTTTTCTAGGATGAAAAAATCCCCTTGGTGACCTGAGACAGCTAGCTAGCTTTAACTCTCTCCACCTAGAAATACACGTATTATAACTATGCATAGGAAGCACACATACATATATATAAACACACATAAACTATATCTAAATGCTGGCATAATTTAAAAAGGACCCTTTATGATCTCTTATGTTTTCTAGAATTATGCTTCATTTCAGCAGATCTTGTTTAGTAACTTACAAGAAAATAACTTCCCCCTTCTATTGCTGTTTAAAAATGTTAACTTCTCCAACTTTCTAATTTAGGGAAGGAAAAGAAAACCAACTACTATTTATTGACTGTTTAGTATATGCCTGGAATTTTTACTTGTTTAATGTTAACTCCCATTTTATAGATGAGGACCTCAGAACAGGCAAGTGCGGTCACATAGCTCGGAGGTGGCAAGCACAGTTAATATTTGAGCCAGATCTGTATGACTCCAAAGGCCTCTCTACCACCACATCATGCTGTAGAATGAACTGTAGAATGCTAGGCTTATAAAAGACTATTATCAATGTTATTAAGTAAAAAATACAAGATGCAGAACAGTAAGCATAATATGTTGCCACTGTGTGAAATGTATGTATACATATATTCACGTGTGTCTGTTTTACATATGCTTAGCATATCTAGTATATCTCTGGAAGACCATACAATCATTGCCCCTAGGGATGGGAATTGGGTTGCTAGAAACCTAGATTTTTTATAATAAAATTTTTTATATCATTGAATTTTGTCTTATGTGCATATATTACCTATTCAAAAAGGAAACTATTTTAAAGACTGTTGCTAGCTATGTTTTTAGAAACATTTGATTCTTTTTTAGATTTAATAATCTATTTGTTGGTAAAATTTCATAGGCTTGTAAAGCTTCTGATGCTATAAAATGTTAATGCTAGTAATTATGATACTGATAAGCATTGATAATGATCATATCTTTCTAGTTTCAATTCCCATGATGCTACTCTCATGACTTACCAATTTGAGAGGGAGGTAGAATACTGATATAACATATATTGATGTTAGCAGAGGTAATGGTGACTTGTTCATCTACATTCAGCTATTTATTTAGCGCTATTTAAGATTTTAAGAATCTTTGGTTTATCTACTTTTTGAAACAAGAACATCATGTCTCAAATGACAGTAGTTGCTAGTCATGACTGAGGTAAAAGAAGTATTTTATGTGATTCCTAAAATTGAACTTAAAACGTTTCCTATCTACTAAAAGCTATATTTTAATTTGGGGCTACCATTAATGGAAATACCTTATCTTGAATATGCTTATTTTTGTACTTGTTTTCAAAACTGTAAGGATCTGTTTACATAGCTTTCTTCCTTACTAGATTGGTCATTCCTTGAGGGTAGGGTCCATGCCTCATATGCTCTTGTTTCTCAGTGCCTAGCCTAATGCTTGACACTCAGTAGGTAACTAAAAATGTTGATTGAGTTGAATCAAATTGAACTAGAGATGCTGACCTTAATCCAGAGGAGAGAGAGAATCTGTCTTCAGATATTTGAAGGTGTTCTCATGTGCAAGAGATTGTTTGTTCTGTATGGCTTCAGTAGACAGAAAAACCAATGAGTGGAAGTATCAAGACATTTCTAAATGTTGACTCAACTAAAGCTAGATGGCACTGTCTCAGGATTTACTGAATCTATCATCAGGAGATTCTTTCATGGCTGGTCAACAATCAAGACAATTCAAAAATTTAATTATTCATTTGTTCCTTCCCTCATTTATTGAAACGTTTACTGAACAGACACTGTTCTAGATATTGGATGCCAACATGGAATAAATCATAATCCTTCCCTCTGGGAATTCAACAGCTAGCAAAGGATTACAACCCAGGGTTCTAAGAGGTTATTACAGAGGTGTAATGTAATACCCTGGAGAGAGCGGACAGGAAAGGCTGCTGAGGATATGACTCTTGAGAGAGTTGACTAGGCAGACAAAGGGAGAAAGGAGTGTCCTAAGTAGATAGAACAATACATGCACAAACTCAGAAGTTAAAATTTTTAGAATAGAATAATGCTATCTAATTTGGATTATGTGCCCTTAAAGGACCCTTCAGTCCTAAAATTCTGTGTGCTGGCTCTTTAACATAGCGTACTTTTTTTTTTAACTTCATGCCAGATATTGCATGAATGTGTATGTATTTTAGTTGTCATTTTTTATAGAAAGCAAAAATACTAATCTCCTTCTTTGGTTTTTGTTCATAGTCAAATTCATCCGGGAAGTAACGCCATATATCAAGAAGCCATCATTAGTATCAGATCTGCCATGGGAAGGTGCAGCTCCCCAGTCACCAAGCTTTAGTGGCAGTGAGGACTCTGGTTCTCCAAAACACCAGAACAGCACCAAGGACAGGAAGGTCATTCCTCTCAAAATGTGCTTTGCTGCTAGAAACCTAAGCATGCCGGATCTGGAGAACAGGTGAGCTGTACCTAAGCAGAACATCATACTTAAAGACATGTTGCAATATTACTTATGCATATTATTTTGCAATAATATGGCTGACTAAATTACAAAGAGGAAAATATCAGTCTGAGATGAGAGAATAGTTTTTGGTGTCCCATATTTAAATTACTTCGACATATATGTACAGTACATATGTAGAAAAATTTTGGACAAACACACATTTGGAAACTTAATGGTGGATATTGCTGGGGAGTGAAATGGGATTAGAAGGAAAGAAGGGGCTTGTGGTCTTCATTTTATACCTTTCTGGAATGTTATTATTACTTTTTTCACTGTGAACATTACTTTGTAATTGAAAAAATCTTACTAAGAAACTTTTCAAATGTTTCTTTAGATGGAAATTCCTTAGGCAGAGTCAGAGATCTGAATTATAGATCTGACTGTATCAACTAATAATGTGACCCTGGCAAGGTAGCGTCGGTTGACTTTAGTTTACTCGGTAAAATGAGAGAGTTGGATTGAATCATTTCTAATGTCCCTCCTAGTTCTATAACCATTTGGGTTCTATGACTTTGTCTTCATTAACTCCATGAAGTGGTACTGGTAAACCTATTGTTAGATTAGGAATTAGGTGGGAAAAAGAGATAAACTTGTCCAAAGACATAGGTAAGGACAGACTTTTTATAATGAGCTTTCACTTTTTTAAATTTTAAATATGTCTTTATTGATTTCAGAGAGAGGGAGAGGGGGAGAGAGAGATAGAAACATCAATGATGAGAGAGTCATTAATCAGCTGCCTCCTGCATGTCCCCTACTGGGGATCAAGCCTGCAACCCAGGCATGTGCCCTGACCAGGGATCAAACCGCAGTCTCCTGGATCCTAGGTTGATGCTCAACCACTGAGCCATGCCAGCCGGGCCCTTTATCCATTTTCGTATTGATAGGCACCTGAGCTATTTCCAGTTTGGAGCTAATATTAATAAAGTTACCGTGAATATTTTTGTACAACTCTTTGTGGGCATACACTTTAGTTTCTCTTGGGTAAATTCTTAGAAGTAGAATTGACAGGTCAAGGGGTAGGTAGGTATATGTTTCGTTTTTTTTAAAAAACTGCCAGACTTTTTCCCTAAGTGGTTGTGCCATTTTACATTCCCACCACCAATAAAGGAGAGTTTCTGTTGCTTCATATCCTCACCAATATTGGTGACATCAGTTTTTTTAATATTAATTCTGATGTGGTATGTAGGTATCTCTTTGTGGTTCATCTTTTACCTTCTAAATGAAAAACTTATTTGACCTGAGAGGGAAGCATCTTTTTCTTCTGTTTTACTATTTTCATTTAGTTTCATATTCACTATCCAGAGCTGGGGGGGGGAGTGCTGACCATCAGAATGAGTAAGCAAGGGGGAGGAAGTTTATTCTCTTCCTCCACCTTGAGTTCTCAAGACCTAGAAGATGCTTCTGATAGTTATAAACAGTTCATTCTGGAAAGTGAAAGCTAAATAAATAATGATGAAGTTCATGGAGAGAACATGAGCCCATTCCTTAGCAAACAGCATTGTGGGCAGTGTGGAGTTTAGCAAGGACAAGGTGTTCTTAAACACTGCTTTCAGAAATGTACATCTGTTTCCTTTGAGCTGGTTCACAATGTCTTGTTCATCTTCCCATTGGCTGTTTTCCATGTAAAAGGTAAATTTTGGCTTTGTGACATATAAAACAATATGATTATTACTAAATTGAACACATAAATTATGTATAAGACTTTACTAAACAGAAAAAATAAGCAGGCTAGACTTACAGAATCCTGCGCTTCTGTTCTGTACCTAAACGTTGATTTGATTCATATGATCAAAATGGAATTGCATTTCTCAGGAAATCCTGAGTGGTTTGACTAGAAGCCAGAACTCTTCACACTGTAGCTGTTTCCTCTTCTCTGCTGTGGACCCAAACAATTACTGGCAGACTGCCTCCAAATTTGTGTTAGAAGCGTTTTCATATGAATTTTTCTTTTAAAGCAGCAGTAGGCTTTAGGAAATACTTTGTCCCCTTTATCAGGTGTTGGGGAGCTTCCTCTTCAAAGGCAAATTCTTCTGCATCATAGGATCATCAGGACTTTGAAGTTTCTTTTCTGTTTCTTCTCACTTAATGTGCTACTTCACAATTCCTTTTTTAAAAACACTGCAAAATTTCTCTTTTCATGAAAAATTGGTGATCTTGGCCTGAGAACTAATTTACTGCCTGTTTTCATCTTTTTCCAGCCTACTGGACTTGTTAATCGAGTTTAGTTTTATTTTATTACAGATTTACTTTCCGTTCGTGCAGTTATTAATAACTAGGGTCTTTGACATTGGAATTTTCAGAGTTTAGATTGTGTTGAAGGAGCTGTGTCTGAGAGACTGTCCCAGGAATCGAATGAAGTGAAAAGGCGTTTTCAGAAGGTGAACGTTTTGTGCCCAGGGAAGGGTAAACTGATTCCTATCTGTAGTGCTAAGTAGGCCAGGAGGAGGAGTGAAAGAAATTTCTTGTCATGGTTTTACGACTGAACTTTTAGCATGTGTCTAAAGGATGTTAAGCTGGTTACAGTGCCAGAGCAACCAGGTGGAAATAATTAGCCCTTATAGAAAACAATCAGCCCAATAGAGGGTCTGAAATAAGGACATCACCGGCTCTTCCTCCCAGTTAGGTAGGATGAAGGATTTTAAAAATTCTTAAAACTCAACAATAAGAAACCAACCGAGTTTAGAAATGGGCAACAGATCTGAACAGACACCTTACCAAAGGAGAAATACAGATGACAAATAAGCATATGAAAGGTGCTCAACATCATATATCATTAGAGAAATGCAAATTAAAACAATGAGATACCACTGCCTATTAAAATGGTCAAAAATCAGAGAAACAGGAACCTTTTTTTAAAATCCTCACCCAAGGATATGTTTCCACTGATTTTTGGAGAGAAAGAGAGCAAGAGAGACATCAATGTGAGAGAAACATCAATAGGTTGCCTCCCATATGCATCCCAACCAGGGATGGAACCCACAACCCAGGTATTTGCCCTGACTGGCAAGCTGACCCACAACCTTTTGGTATATGGGACAATGCTCCAACCAACTGAGCCATCTGGCCAGGATAGGGCAACAGTAACTCTTATTTGTTGCTGGTGAGAATGCCAAATAGTCCAGCTACTTTGGAAGACACCTTGGCAGGTTCTTACAAAGCTAAACATGGTCTTACCGTATGACCCAGTAATTGTGCTCCTTGGTATTTACCTTCAAGATTGCTAGATGGGTAACTCCAGTGGGAGGGCAGGTGAGTGGGTGAGTAGGTAGATGTGTTTATAACCTGTCTCATAGCATGATACCTGTTTGGGGGATGTGCCCCAGAGGTATAGAGGCCTCTATTGCAGTTCTGCTTTCCTACTACTATCTTGGGAGTGCCTTTTTAGACAAAAACTTCATAAGTCATCACAGTCCTTAATAGAAGCACTTTTTAACCTGTAATTGTGTATTAATTAATTGTTAATTTTCTGCCTTCTCCTTTAGACTACAGACCCAGTGAGGGTAGAGACTATTTTTTTTTTCTATCTTTTTCATCACTGTATCTCTAATACCAGTACCTACCACAGTATCTGGTATATAGAAGGTGCTCAGTCAATGTGTATTAAGAAAGGATAGGCTGACCACAGTTCAAATGAGTATGAATATCTGCCATATTAAATGTGGCAAATTAAAATATTTGGTGAAAGAGAGGGATGCAAGCTTTAAGGCAGAAATGCTAGTATACATGTAAATTGCTTATCTTTGGCAGGAGGTGTTGGATCTGATGACAGTGCTTCAAGGCAGCAAAAACTGTCATTAGAAAGATGAAAGAATAAAGAGATCTCTCCTTGGTCAGTGGCAATTTGTCAATTTCTAGCCTCCCCGGAAAAACGCTCCTAAGAGCTTTTTCTTTTCCATTTTGAAAGAACTGTTAGAACACGGCAGTGTATATATGTTAGTCATTTATTTATTTGGCTTTTTTAACTCATCTTGACAAAAACTTTGGCAAAAGCACAAAACAGTACCCTGTAAATTGCTTTGTAAAGAATTTGTTTGATGTACTTTTAAAAAATTTTAGCTAATTCCTAAAGGTTACTTTTGAAGTATATAGATTGTTCTCAGTTGATCATTAACAAATAATAGTCATAGAGTTGAAGATTTCTTAACTGTTTTTCTACTATGATTCAGTGGATGATTTAATCATATGTTACCCAGACACTAAAAAACAATTGTAAATTTTCATAAAGAATCATTCTTCCACTATTTTCTCTTTCCTTTATTTCACACAGTGGAAATTTCAGTTCACTGTTTGGCAGTAGGTTTATTTACCTAGCAATACCTTATAATGATATTTTATAAGGTATTTCCTATATATATATTTTAAATATCCTTCTTTACATTAACAATTCCTTCTTTACAATGTGCCTATCAGATTCAATAAGCATGCTTTCTATTTCCTTGACAGGGAAATTAAGGCAAAGTAAAGTGTTCTGTTATAGACTATACAACAAGTTTCCTCGTCATAGGTTATTATATTAACAGATTGAAACAAGAGACCCAATGGTTAGTCTTTCTGATGATTATTTTACCCATGTGTGGTTTTCTCTGGAACTATGGAATTAGGAGAAAGTTCTCTATTCTGGAATGTAAAATTAAAGTAGATTTCCAGTAATGTATGTTAAACTCTGCCAGGTTGGATGACTTCTGATCTAGCTCACTTTTTTCTTTTCTTTTTCCACACAGATTGATAGAGCTACATTCTCCCGATAGCAGGAACACGTTGATCCTACGCTGCAAGGATACAGCCACTGCACACTCCTGGTTCGTAGCTATCCACACCAACATAATGGCTCTCCTCCCACAGGTGTTGGCTGAACTCAATGCCATGCTTGGTGCAACCAGTACAGCAGGAGGCAGCAAGGAGGTCAAGCACATTGCCTGGCTGGCAGAACAGGTAGGCTGAGAGGCAGGGCAGGGTTGCCATTCAGAGCCAGGATGGTTCCCCCATTTTGTATTTATCATGCAGTCAGGTTCTGGACATCTGGCTTGCAGAGTTCATGTATCTGTAATATTGATCATGCAGTCAGGGCCTGGGTACCTAGCTTGCAGATCTTGTTTCTCCTCCCTACCATTTAGCTATTTCTTGCTAATGATCACCTCCACCAGAAGAACTGACCATCATGATAATCATCATCACAACATAACTAAAAAGAGGTTCTTACTTATCATCTCTGCTCTTAATGACAGAGAATCCTTTTCATAATTTTAGAACAGGGTCAGCAAACTGTTTCCGCAAAGGGCCAGCTAGTGTCGCAACTACTTGAGCCTGCCATTGTAGCAATAAAACAGTGATAGACGATATGAAAATGAATAGGTGTGGCTGTGTTTCAATAAAACTTTATTTACAAATACAAGTAATGGGCTGTATTTGGCCCACAGGTCACAGTTTCTCAATTCCTGTTCTAGTCTGTTGACAGAATTTCAGGGGCAGTAAATTTAATCCCTGCTCTGGGAAAAGTATAAAATATACAAAATATTTTACAGGCCAGTAGACAAACATCTTCCACAACTAAAAAATGAAAAGAAGAGAAATAAGAAAACCTAGGTGGATATTGGCTGAAGGGAAAGGAAGAACTTAATCCAAGTTCAACCTAAGGGAAACTAAAGGTTCTATGCGATGTTGTATATATATACTTTTCTTTTGGATCCTTCACTATCAGCTGGGTCAGAAGGAGTTGAAAAAAGAAGACTGGACTTGGGGTTCAAAGATGAGTATTTAAGTGCTCGTTCTGTGTTTCACTGCTTTTAGATCTTTTTAAAAGTTCCTTCATCTCTTTGAATCCTGGCCCCTTCATGTATATGCAAGGGGGCAGGGGTTGTGTCAGTATCAGCACAGGGTGCTTTTGTTCTTTTGTTTTTGTTTTGTTCTATGTACAGTTTTCCAAGCCTGGCCCCCCACCCTTCCACCTCAGCAGAGTTCTGACTTGGTAGATCTGTCATGAGGCCTGGCAGTCTTGCTTGGTCGCTTTCAGTGACTGTGTTGTGGACCACTTTGGACTTCACTCATCTATTTTTTTTCAGCTCTGAAGTTTTGTAAACATTTCAAATGGTAATTATAATAAATTAGAACATAGAATTAGCACTGTGACCATTTCTAGGAAGCGTAATTAGAATGACTAAACAGAAGAAACGAATGAAAATCATGGTATAAGTACTTACGACTTATGGAAAGTTTTAGTGTTTTAGTTAAGTCTATCATTGTTTCTATTTTTTTATGCGCTAGTTGAAAAACTCGATTGAGTGGTAATTGTTTGGTGATCTCAGCAATGTTAGAAACCTTCATGATTTTAAAAAGGTAACACATTCACATGGTTCAAAAATCAGAATAAAAAGTTAAGAGGTGAAAAGTCATACTCTCTTTCCTGTCCCCCATCCACCTAATTCCCTCCTACCTTCTGTTTCCCCAGAGAGGTCATCAGTTTCATTCCTTTCTAGTGATTTGTTTGAGACTTTCTCTATGGAAATAAAAGCAACTATGAACATATGTCCTTCTTTTCTTTTCTTATGGAAGAAGATAGCATATTATGCACACTATTTTATACCTTGCTCTTTGTTTCATTAAACAATTTATCCTGGAGATTTTTGCATATCAATGAACAGAGGGCATTCTTTTTTACAACTGTATAGTTTTCCATTGTGTGGTTATAGTTAAATAAGCACTCCCCCAGTTTTGTTGTTACAAATGATGCTGCAATGAATAACCTTGTAGTTTGTCCTTTTACACCTGGGCTCTCCTAACTCTGATTCTCGAGTTCCAATAGATCAGATAACAAGGAAACCCGTGTATCTGAATATATTTGGTTAACTTTGTATTTGTGAGTAGTAAAACTTTGGTTAGAAAGGGATTTATCCAAAAATTTACATCAGTTCCTGAGTTTGGGTAATGACAGTTCAGAGAATAGGGGATATTTCTATATCTGTACGATAGTTCCCCAGAAGTGCTAAGTTAAAGGTTGTATTAGTTACGTTGCTATATAATAAATTACCCCAAGATTTAGTGGCTTTAAGATAACGAACATTTACCTTACACAGTTTCTAAGGCTCAGGAATCTGGTTACAATTTGCCTGCGTGGTTCTGGTCCAGGATCCCTCATAAAGTCAAGCTGTCAGCCAGGGTGGCAGCCATCTGAGGGCTTGACCGGGGTTGGCAGGTCCACATCCACCATGATTCATTCACATGGCTGTTGACAGGAGGCCTCAGTTTCTTGCTGCCCGTTGCAGAAGTCCTCAATTCTTTGTCATGCAGGCCTTTCCACAGGGCTGCCTAAATGTCCTCAAGACATGGCTGCTGATCTTCCTCAGAGTGAGTGATATGAGAGAGAACAAGATGGAAGCTACAGTGCCTTTTATGACCTAGTCTCTTCTGCTTTATTCTTTTCATTAGAAGTGGGTTACTAAGTTCATTTAGCCTACATGCAAGGGCTTCACCTTTTAAAGGGAAGAGGAGTCAAGAATTTGTGAATGTATCTTTAAACTACCACAAAGGGTATATGCACTTGTCATTTTGATAAATATTGCCAAATTTAGATTCCCAGCAATGTATGAGAGTTGCCAGACTTCTAAAGTAAACGTAATATGGTTTATGCTACATACAGATAAGCAGAAAGGAGAAAAAGCCACCAGTTCATCACAGTCTGTCTTATAAGGACTGTGTTATATGTTTCCTCTACACACTTTTTCCAAAACTTAATTGCCACCAGAGAACTTAGCCTCGTGCTTTCTATATAGTAGATGCTCAGTAATTTTTCTTCGTCTCTGTGTATGTATATACATATATATATATATATATGTATATATATACACACACAAAAAGCAAGCAGACAAGCCACTAATTATAAAATCTTGTCTACGAAACACAGCTTTAGGGTTGGGAAATAATACTAAAGGAGAAAAGTTTCAATCACTTAAAAAATAGTACCACTGAACTCATTGGAAGTACTGTTTCTCAAATACTCTTGAATTTTCCTTTTCTGAGTTAGTTGTCTGGGTTACCCAAATTAAATATCACCCTCAGAATAAGATGTTCAAGCAAGACTGGATACTGTTTCTCAGACTATTATGAGCTTACATCTCTGATAAAGGTTGGACTAGGTAAATGCCAGAGCCTTCTCTCTCAGATTGTTTATGAGTGTGAAATGGTCAAGATAATTTCAGCTCCTGTCATCTGTTTAATATAGGTAAGCATTTCTTTTGACAAGAGGTATAGCTCCTGAAAAACTTGCATATAAATAAAACTGTTTTCATTGTATTTAGAAAAAAATAGTTATGCCCTGGCCAGTTTGGTTCAGTGGTTAGGGCATCGGCCCTCAGACTCTGAAGGGTCATTGGTTCGATTCTGGCCAAGGGTGCAAGCCTCAGTTGCAGTCTCAATCCCTGGCCCTAGTTGGGGCACATGCAGGAGGCAACCAGTCGATGTGTCTCTCTCACATCAATGTGTCCCCCGCGCCCCCACCCCTTGTGCTCTCTCTGGAAATAAAAAATAATAAAATAATAAAATAAAATAAAATAAAATAAAATAAAATAAAATAAAATAAAATAAAATAAAATAAAATAATAAAATAATAAAATAAAATAAAATAAATAAAATAAAATAATAAAAATAAAATAATAAAATAAAATAAAATAATAAATAAAATAAAATAATAAAATAAAATAAAATAATAAAATAAAATAAAATAATAAAATTAAAAAAAAAGATGGCCAGTTGGGGCAAGTAATTTAAGAAATAATTTAAGAAAGGATCATTTAACTTTAAATGACTTCTCTTTCATTTATCCTTTTTTTTATTTTATGTTGTCATAAATTGAGTTTGTTTGAAACAGGGAAAACCTGTAGTACAGATATTTGGTAACTGGTGAATAATCTGTTTTATGCATAGGGACTTCAGCCCTCTAGTGATACTGATTTTTATGTGACTGATAGTTTACCTTTTAGTTGGTTATATTCGTAGAGGGAATTTTCTTTAAGTGCACCAAATGGGGGAACATATTATCCATAAAACCAGCATTTTAAAGCATTTGAACATAGGTTAGAAAAACCAATAAAGCCAAAGAAAGCTTTGTTCCCACAGTTCCTACTTGGTCTCTGATAACTCCCCAAATGTATAAAGACTCAAATTAGTATTAGTGAAATGGTTTGTTTAGTGTTTGCTCTGTGTTTTCTATTATAAAAATAAAGAAAGAGCCCGGCTGGACGTGGCTCAGCAGTTGAACATCGACCTAGGATCCAGAAGATCGAGGTTCGATTCCCGGTCAGGGCACATGCCCGGGTTGTGGGCTCGATCTCCAGTCGGGGTGTGCAGGAGGCAGCCAATCAATGACTCTCTTATCATTGATGTTTCTATCTCCCTCTCTCTCCCTCTCCCTTCCTTTCTCTGAAATCAATAAAGATACATTTTTTAAAAAATAAAAATAAAGAACAGAAGTACATCACTTGTCAAAAAGATTTACAAGATTAAAAGATTTAGGGAATGAGTAATAACTATTAGTATTTTTTCGTCTTTAGTGCTATCCAACTTTATTTATTAGAAAATAAAAGTTGGCAAAGGCTCTTATTTGGCCAGTGTATGCATGCGTATGGATGTGTGGGTGTTGAAACACAAGCAAACAAGAACCCTAACATTAGTGTCCCTTTTTTCTCCAGCCAAAACCTCAGTAGTGGAGCCCCAAGGCTGCTTGCACTGATACCACAACTGAAAACACATGCTATATATAGCAGGCAGCATTTGACTTCAGTAAAAGCAAACAGTATTTTTATAAGTTAAGGCAAATAGGCAAACAGAATTACTTAAATTGAGGTTTTATTTTCCTCCAATGATAAGTGGAAGAGGGAAAAGATATTCTTCAAAAACTAAGGACTCAAAAGAGCTAAAGAATAAACACTTTTTAAAAATTTTTAATTGAACAAAAAATTTTCTCTCTTGAAATTGGATATTACTTTTATTGACATTAGCAGTTTTCCTTTAGAGCCTAAAATCTCTTCCTTGGGAAGAAATACATTTAATTTAGGTTTTCCAAATCCACATGCTCTGATTGAGCCTTCAAAATCTATTTCTTACAACTTAGGGGATAATTAATTTTTTTTAAATCAGATACCATTTTTAACCCTTTGGGAAGATAGATTTTACATTATTTTCCCTATTAAAATAGTATCCATAACAACCTCAGAGACAAAGACTTAGTAGTGCACATAAACTAGAAATCCCTTTGGGGGCACCCATGACCCAAAAATGTAAGAATACAGAGAACCTCTTTAGAAATGATCTTCTCCCTCCAGATATTACAGTTACCCATGAACTAATACAGAGTCCCAGAAAACTTGGGTTCACTGATAAGAAAAGTAGAATTATTTCTGCGATACTCTGCTTGAATTGTGAACGTCAGGTCCTATATTTTGTGCTTTCAGCACATGGTAGAACAAGGATTACTTCGCTGGGTGGAATTCATTTCCCATTCCTGGAATCAGCTGGGGGCTCTAGCTAAGAGAAAAGAATCTGGGTGGTAGATGTTGTAACACTGAACAGAACCACTTAGGCCACTTTTCAGATTACAGATATGTTCATAAGGTGCTCTAACATGTCCAGATTGCCTTCGAAGTCACTAAGGAGGAAAAAATAAAAAGTGGCTCTGAGACAACTCTTTTAAGAGACAAGTAATTCATCAATTTGGATTTCCTTAAAGCCACCCCTTTCTATGATGATAGTGAACTGAAGGATCAGTGTTAAAATACACTGTTGGTAAGCATTGTCTGTTTAAAGATCTTATCTCATTAGGGCAAATGTTTTTTTATAATTTATTTACTTACTGATTGATTTTAGAAAGAGAGGAAGGGAAAGAGAGAGAGAGAAACATCAATTTGTTGTTCCACTTATTTATGCATTCACTGGTCGATTCCTATATGTGCCCTGACCGGGCGTCAAACTTGAAACCTTGGCTTGTCGGCACAATGCTCTAACCAACTGAGCTACCTGACCAGGACCATGAGGGCAAATATTTTGATGATACCAGAGCTTTTCTTGAACATAGTCTTTTGCTTATGGGCCTTGGATCCTTGACAATATGGATAAACAGTGGTTGTTTTCCTACATTTTAAAACCCTCACAGAGAGAACTGAACTTTTTGCAAGTAAATGCAGTGGTACGTTTGAAACTAAAACATAAACTTCCTAAGTATAATAGGACTTTGACAGTAGTTTATATGAGTGTTTTCCAAAATACAACATAGTGGGTCATCAGCATTTTTTAAAAAATTATCAGAACACTACATAAAATATAGGGATTGTATTGTTTTGGAAATTTTTAAATTCAGTTATTTATATATGTTATTGGGTTACAATGTAAAATGTATTTTTTTAAAATATATCTTTATTGATTTTAGAGAGGAAGGGAGAGAGGGAGAAAGAGATAGAAACATCAATGATGAGAGAGTTGTCATTAATTGGCTGCCTCCTGCACGTCCCCAACTGGGGATCAGGCCCACAACCCGGGCATGTACCCTGACCAGGAATCGAACCACAATCTTCTGGATTGTAGGTCGATGCTCAACCGCTGAGCCATGCCCAGCCAGGCTAAAATGTGTTTCTTATAAAAATATTTGAAAAATACTGATGTTTAGAGTATATGGATGGGGAAACAAAATGGAGACTGGAGACCTGCTATGTTAGACCATCACTGAAGGGACTTTTACAATTACATGCCGTTATAGTTAGCTCTGCTTTCTGGATTTCATCATTGTAACAGGCAAAACTAGATGGTGGAAGACAACATTGGAGACCTGTTCTCATGGCTGTGACTGAGAAGGATTTGCTGCTTTATGACTGTATGCCATGGACAAGGGATGCCTGGGCATCACCATGTCACAGCTACCCTCTTGTTGCCACAAGGTAAGACAAAAGACAAAAAAAGAAAATTCTGTCCTACTCTAGATCTTCTAAAGAGTTTGAAAGTGAAATCTATTGTCTTAGTTGCCTAAAATAGGCACCTAAATAGGATTTAAGTAGCTGAGATAGTTGATTTAGACAAAAACTTTTCTTTCACAACCTTATTGATTATTTTGCTTCTCCTAGCTCAGAATAAATGGTTTCTGTCATTAGTATTTCTGTGTGCATTTTTTAAGTTGTTGAAGCAGCTTCCTAACTGCTCCCTTCAAGACTTGCTTAGTCATGAATATAAGTAAATAGTGTGTGTTTTTTCCCTTTACTTTATTGACTGTGACTAGAAAACCACTGAAATTGTGGCAGCCTTTTGACTGAGTGATGAAATCATTTAAACCAGAATGTGGTACTGTGGATAAACCACACAACTCAACCAAAATATTCTTCAATTTCTCTTTCTGATATAAGAGCACATAATTTTTATTCCATCAAATAAACATTGATTTGACCTGAAGCAATAGGCTGTTTCTAGCATGCTAGAAGTGGAGAGTTGGAAGTACATAGAACAGAGAAATGTAGATTTGGGTGCCAAGATGTCTTAAGAGATAACTGGAAAGTAGTTATCTAGTGTAAAACAAGAAGAGATACATTTAGTTTTATTGGGGCTTAAAAAAGAATCAGGTTTTGATGTAACTCAAAAACTACACATTAAAAAGGAGCCCCACAGAAAAGTATTTGGTAGTCAAAAAAGCTAAATTTTGAAACCACGTGGTATGTCCCACAGGGATCAGTATGGGGGGGTAGTAGTTCCTGCTTAAGCAAACAAAGATTCATGTGAGGAAGGGTATTCTTTACATTACAGGAAGACTTTCATGTTATATAGGATTTCCTGCAACTTGCTCAGTTCTTTTACATATATGGGGTTTTTTTTAAATAAAAATATAATTTTTACATAGTTTTTCAGGAGTTTCTCTGTAATTTAGAGCTGGAGCACTTAGATCACAGAATAGAGACAAGGGATTTGTTGAGCCTCAGAATTAGAGAGGTGTGCCCTCATTAATTCCTTCAGGATGTGTAAGGGTCCTGCAGGATGACTGGATGTAACCGTCAGTTTCTCTGTTTTTGTTTTTTTAATCCCCACTAAATTATAACCTTCTTGAGTTCAAGAACTTTGACTTAGTCATCGTAGCACTTCCCATAATGCTTTGCATATAGTAGGCCTCAATAAATCTTAGTTGAGTTGAATTTTTTTAAGTTATAGTTTCTTTGTCATGGTTACATTGGGAGCATGGCAGGAATCCTATGAAAACATGTGGAAATGTGTCAGTAGTTAAAGTAGAGCAATGAAATTTATATTTTCCAAAGAGTTAGAGCTTATGAATATAACTGTAGAGATTGCTTAAGTTTAAATTTCATGGAAAAAGCTTGTTCTCTAGTTATGATCATAAAATGCAAGGTGGGCATTTTATCCTTAGACGTTTCCTTAACTGTGTGGCACTAGAGGGATGGAGCAAAAACCTGTGACATCCCAGCCTTTGTTTAATACTTGAAATCACAGTCCCATGAACAAATAATTTCTGGCCGTAGACCAGACCTGGCCTAGACCACCAAAGCACTTTGGTACTAAAGTAAAAATGGGGTGGATGTGTTTATACCATCAGTGTGGTATTAATTTGCAACTAGAGAAAAGATACAAGTAAGACTTAAGAGTTAAAACTATAACAGGAGTAGATCTTCATGACCTTGGCTTAGGCAGAGCTTTCTTAGATAAGACACCAAAAGCATAAGCAATAAGAGAAAAAAATAAATCAATTGGACTTCATCAAAATTAAAAAATTTTTGTGCTTCAGATGTTACCATCAAGAAAGTGAAAAGCAAAAAACACACACAAAAACAATAAGAAAGTGAAAAGACAACCCAAAGAATGGGAAAAAATATTTGCAAATTATGTATCTAAACTGGGACTTTTATCTAGAAAATATAAAGAACTCTTACAACTCAATAATATAAACATAAAAAGGATCTGAACAGACATTTGTCCAAAGAAGATATACAAATAGCTAATACGCACATAAAAGGACGCTCAAAATTAGCCATCAGGGAAATGCAAATTGAAACCACAGTGAGATACCTCTTTCTACCTACTAGGATGGCTATAATTAAAAAGACAGATAATAACAAGTGTAGACTCGGATGCGGAGGAAATGGAACCCTTCCTTATACACTGCTAGGGGAAATATAAAACAGTGCAGTCGATGTGGAAAACAGCCTGGCAGTTCCTCCCCTATGTTGTATACCCAAGAGAAACGATAACTTATGCCCACCCAAAAACTTATACATGAACATTTATAACAGCATTATTCATAAAACCCAAACAATGGAAACCACCTGAGTGTCCATCAGCTAATGAATGGGTAAATAAAATATGGTATATATCCATTCAATAGAATATCCTTCGGCAATGAAAAAGAATAAGGTTTTAAAAAGCTCTGCAACATGGATGAACCTTAGAAACATTATGCTAAGTGAAAGGAGCCAGACACAGAAGGCCACGTATTATATGATTCTATTTGTATAAAATGTGCAGAATAGGCAGATCTATAGAGGCAGGAAGATTAGTCATTGCCAGGAATGGGGGTGGGGGATGGGAGAAATGAGGAATGACTGCTAATGAGTATAGAATGTCTTTTGGGAGTAATGAAAATCTGCTAAAATTGCCCGGCCGAGCGTGGCTCAGCGGTTGAGCAACCTAGGATCCAGGTGATCGGGGTTCGATTCCCGGTCAGGGCACATGCCGAGGTTGCGGGCTCAGTTCCCAGTCAGGAGCGTGCAGGAGGCAGCCGATCAATGACTCTCCCATCATTGATGTTTCTATCTCTCTCTCTCCCTCTCCCTTTCTCTCTCTGAAATCAATAAAGATATTTTTTTTTAAAAAAAAAAAAAGAAAATGTGCTAAAATTAAATGTGGTGATGGTTGTATAATTCTGAATATACTGAAATCCATTGAACTGGACACTGTAAATGGGTAAGTGTATTGCATGTGAAATTATATCTCAGTAAATATGTTACAACTTAAAAAAGGATACGATTTAATAGAAGGGACTCAGGCCAACCCTTAATAAACTTGAGTTTGAATCCCTATTCTGCCACTTTTGGAAGGTGATTGGGAGCATGTTACTTAGCCTTTCTGTGCTACAGATTCTTCATTTATTAACGAAACCCTAATGAGCCCCAATGAGATAGGGCAGGTGTGAGTATTAAATGAGTTAATACTTGTAAAATGCCTACAGTTGTATCTGACACATTGTTAGCTGCTTTAATTATTATTATAATAATTTATGATTAAGTGAAAATATGTCAAAGAAGAATTCTATGTAAAAAGTATAATTGGTTTAATTTGGCTATTGTTAAAAGAGGAGCTTAGTTCTACAACAGGTTTTTACAAGGAATGAAAGCTTCATATTAAATGTGTGGAATTCGAATGTATTATTTGGATCAACCTAGATATGCAATTGAAATTGACCATTAATAAAATGGATGGGGCCTGTAGCTCCCTGAGCATGTTTCTTACTGAGTTTAATTAATGTAACAGCAGGGAATTAATGTAGCTCCTTGTTCAGGAAGTACCAGTGGATTAGGAACAAAGATGACAGGCAGATGAGAGGTTTAGTTTTCCCATGTGGCCATGTCTGCCAGGTGGAATTGATTTAAGTCACTACATGATAGAATTAAGTGGGACTTAATCATCTTCTGCCTCCCAGAGGTGGTAGAGTGTGGCCACTGAGAGAGGCCAGAGGATGGAACCAGACCAGGAGGTTTGCCACAAAGAAAGGCAAGACCAGAAAGTGGTGTGCTTGTATCTTTAGTGTGGGGCAAAGAGAGGGTTTGAGATTTATATGAGTAATGAGAAAGGGCTGAGTGTTCACTTTTTACTAATTCTGTCTCTAATACTTTGGAAGATGTTCTTATGAATGAATGGATGAAACGAAAAAAGATGACATAAACACATAGGGAAGAAAAAATAAATTAAGGACCTTGATTATCTACAAAAGTAGATAGACAAAAATCAAACAGCATTGTTAGGGTGCTGTAAATTAACATGAGTTATCATTTATATGCACCTTTACAGATTCTTGGAGCCAAGGGGTGTGTGTGTGTGTGTGTGTGTGTGTGTGTGTGTGTGTGTGTGTGTGTGTGTGTGTGTGTGTTAATAGCTGATATTTCAGGCTGGTGAAGAATTAGGTAAAGTGTGAAAGTGGTAAATGAAGAAGATTTTTTATTTTTATTTTATACATGTCTTGAGATTAAAGCCAGATACTTGATAGAGGTGTAGAACACATTGGTTTTAAAGGTGCTGTGGATTTTGCAGGATGCATATTTTGTCTTCCAATAAGCTTTCTTTGACTGGAGGAGAAAAAGATTCAAAGGAAGTGTGACTGCTTTACAGTGTGGAAAAGTGAGTGGTGTTGTGCTTAGGGGACTTATGGGGCAAAAGCTGCTAAAACGCCCTTGCATGAGCTCAGCTGGCCTCCCCACTAATGGGGCCTTTTGGCGGCGTGTGCTAACCAACTGCTCACAGCAAGACTCCAGCAGCTGGTTTGCATTAGATTCCCTCTGCCAGATATTTCATAATCACATCTGTAGGAAAAATTTTCCTAGACTTTGTATTTTTTAATGTCTCACTTGGGATTAACAACCAAACTGAATACAGTAGACTACACCCTGTCACTTTCCCCATGCTCTGTCTTACTTGGATCATATGTGGAGTAATTTTGAAACTTATTTAACTCTTGCTGAAATAGCTAGTGTTTAAGTGGCATGTTGGTTCTCTGGGAATCAGCTTGGTGAGGTGGTTCTCAAAGTCCACTTTCACAGACATCTGGGGATCCCCTCTTCAGGGGATCTGTGAGTTCAAAACTGTTACTAAGATATAACTTGCTTTTTTTCACTGTTGACATTTGCCCTGAGAGTTGGTAAAATTGCTGCCATAGCATGAATCAAGGCAGTTG